CTCTAAACCTCTAAACCTGGCCCACAACACACCTGACATAACAATAGTTGAAAAGAAAAAAGTATGTTTCATTGACGTTGCAATACCTGGAGATGCACGGATTGAAGATAAACAGCAAGAAAAAAATCACAAAGTACCGGGACTTGCAAATTGAAGTTGAGCGATTTTTTTCTCCTTGATTAAGAGGTCATAAGATCTTCTGAGTGTGAAATTTAATTATTTTTGACTCAGCCTAATAATATTTCTCTAATTTTCTCATCCTCCATTGAAGTTTAAGGACCATAAAGTATAGCATGGTATAGTTGATCATCATAATTTCCATAACTAGTTTTCAATCATCAATCTTTATTTTTCTGCAATTTATAGTGGCAAAAACATGAAGTGGTATAAAAATGCATTAATTTCTTCACTTCCCAGTAACTTCATTTACTCCCATTGCTCAATATGGCATGATTTCCTTATTTAGGAAAAATACAAACAATATTTTATATAGAAGCCTAATTATCTTTCCTCAGCCTTTTATTAGATTTATTAGATTTTAAGCACTTAAAAAAATAGAGATCCTGATAAAATAAAAGAAAATTTGGGAAAGTAGAACAGAAAGAGAGTATCAGACAAGAAGAAAGCACAAAGAAAAGGGATTTTTTTCTGCCAGCCCAAGATTTAAAAAATTAGAAAACTCTTTTATATTATACCAACAAGATATCCTTGCCCTGAACTCTGGGATAATCTTTATATATCATCATCAATGCAGATGGCAATTTGCAAAGGAAGAAAGGTTTTGCTGGTTCCTGCCTGAGTTTGATTAGAATCTAAAAATATATACAAAAAGGAGCAGGAAGAGGGAAACAGGACAATTCTTACACATTTCCTACACTAGGAAGAGATTATTGTGGCTCTAAAGTTAAGAGATAGGTTCCAACTCATTAATATCAATGATATCTATCAATCTTATGACTTCTTTTAAAAATAATAGACATAGGATTTTGTGCATCTGAAGAGTAGCAGAATCAGAGTCTGGCATTTTACTTTTACATTTTCTAGAGAAAAAAAATTGAATCGGTCAATACTTCCTGATGGGGTATAGTAGTAGAATCTTTTTGCAGTTCAAGACAGTTGGGATTCTGAATATTGTCCCTTCACCTTAATTGTACCCTTTGCTTAATTTTATTTAGGTTACAACATCAATGCCCCAAATCTTCTTAAACCTGAGGTGAGAGAGTTTTGGAAGCGCTTAAAAAGTTGCATTATCTCACCAGAAGAAGGTGGAAGCATAGACCTCTTTGTTCCTCTGGCAGCTTCAGGTCAGTCTAACTTGCCACCCAGAAAAATTGGCATCTTTCCCTTTGTTTACAATAGATCTACTCAAACAGGAAACTCCTTTGATTTGGTTGTGGCTTCAATGGAGCTACCATGTGTTATGCAACGGTTAATTACATGGCCACAAACCATGAGTGGTTTTGCTTCTCCCCTTTTCCTTCCCAACCTCTTTTCCTTTGGGTTGAGCCTTTTAGATGTTAGCCAGAAAGTGGGCGTTATCAGCACTTATTCATGTTTTCAAGTAATTTCCCCAGTACAAACATAACCAGGGACATACATTGGTCAAAAAGTCAAGATGTTGATTGTAACTACCGTATTTTTCAGAGAATTAGACGCAGCTTTTTCCCTCAAAAAACAGCTTGAAAATCTGGGTGCATCTTATACATTGAATACAGCATTTTTTGCCTTCCGAAACCCCGCCCCTTCACCTAAATGGCTGTGCATAGCCTTTAGGAGGGCAGAAATGCTTGGAGGGCAGAAATGAGCAAAAAACAGTCAGTTTTTTGCTCAATGTTACCCCTCCAGCCCCCAGGAGCACTCTATAAGCCTCCTAAAGGCTATGCATGCCATTTTTTTTGACAAAAACGGGCTCATTTTTGTGAAAAATGAGCCATTTTTTGTTCATTTTGGCCCACCCACCCCAGGAACACTCTACAAGCCTCCTAAAGGCTCTTCATGCTCTTTTTTTGGAAACAAAAAGCGGGCCCCTTTTTGCAAAAAACGAGCCGTTTTTGGGAGGTCTGCAGAGTGCAAAAACTTTTTTTTCTCTTCAAAATCTTGGTGCATCTTGTGCTCCAGTGCGTCTTATACTCCGAAGAATACAGTATGTGATTGAAGCCCCAAGGCACACGCATGTGCGTGTGTGTGTGTGCACGCACACCCGCACATGTGTGTAAGTATGATTGTTTTGGGATCACCAACTCCCCACCAATATAATATACTGGCTGAGTATAACTTCATTTAATTTAGCTTCACCTAGCAAAACATTTGGGCTATCCTCAGCTGTATCAGAAGTGGTCTTCAAGAGCCAAAGACCTTGAGAGTTGGTCCAAAGGCCAAAGTCTAAAATATTGTTTAGTGACTTGCTTTTCATGTTCAGATTAAAAAAGAAGGAAGTCTTCTCTGATGGATAAAAAGATCCAGCAATCCAATTTTCTCTGATGCCCTAGCTTTCTCCTTCATTTATTTATAGAATGTCCTGTGAAGAGTCTTTATCACCCTGTGAAATAATATATTATTCACCAACCATTATAGAGAGTGTCATCTCACCTGCCCACCTCCATACAGTATTTTTATCACAGTATTGTTATTATACAAGACAGAGTTCTGTGATAACAGACTCAGTCAACAGAAATAGCACAAAAGGGTCATAAAATAGGAGGGAAGAGAAAGCAAAAGGCACATACTGATTAGAAACATTATTCCGGGTGATTTCCCCCCCCCCCCCCATAATGGCCATAACACCTCATGGTGAACCTATTCCAGAAGGGATGCAATGCTGTGAGATCACAGTAACTGGGTCAAGGAAAGATCTCTTCGCCTTATTCTTTCAAACAGGCTGTAAAATTAAACTGAGGGAAAAGTAACACCACATTTCTTATGGGCTACTGATTGCTCAACATAGAGCATGTGTTTTCCTATCTCCGGGAGGAACAGGCAATTGCATTAGAGTAGAGTGGAGTGGAGTGGAGTGGAATGGAATAGAATAGAATAGAATAGAATAGAATAGAATAGAATAGAATAGAAGAATGAAGGGATCTTGGATGTCTTTTAGCCAACTCCCTGCTGAGGCAGGCAACCCTACACCAGTGATGGCTAACCTTTTTTGGCTCCCGTGCCAAAAGCGGGGGGAGCGCAGGGAGGTTGTGCATGGGCGTGCCATACCCATAATGCTATGTGTGTGATCCAGTGTGCATGTGCGCGCAACCAGCACACCCTCCCCGGATTTTGGCACTGGTTTTTTTACCCCCTCCAGGCTCCAGAGGCTTTCTAGGAGCCCGGGGATGGCGAAAACAGCCCCCCTCAGGCCCTCCGGAGGCTTCAGGAGCTTCCCTGAATCCTGTGGAGGGCAAAAAATGGACTTACTGGGAACCCAAAAGTTCAGGAATTGTGACTTCCGATTTGTCCATAGGGCCAATTTTCGACCTCCAGAGCTTTCAGGAGGCTTCCCTTGCACGCCCTAACAAATGGCTTCGTGTGCCACCTGTGGCATGTGTGCCATAGGTTCGCCATCACGGCCCTGTACCATTTCAGACAAATGGTTGTCCAATCTCTTCTTAAAAACTTCCAGTGTTGGAGAATTTACAACAGGGGTGTCGAACTCACATCGTCACGAAGTTGTCATGTGACGTATTGTGACTTCCCCCTACATGATGCATTTGACCCACTGGCTGCGAGTTTGACACCCCTGATTTACAACTTCTAGAGACATGTTGTTCCACTGGTTAATTGTTCTAACTCTTAGGAAATTTCTTCTTAGTTTTAGGTTTCTTCTCTCCTTGATTAGCTTGATGTTTATTTTAGGGTTATTAGCTTGATGTTTATTTTAGGGTTGTAATTGCTACATTCTACATTTTTTCAAATAATGTTTATTAAAAGTTTGAATTAAACAATAAAAGATAATAAAGACTAAAAGAAAAAATGCAAGAAAATAAATATATAAAGGGGGGAAAAACCCTTCTCTCTAAGAAAATGACCCCTCACCCTCTTCATGGCAAGTAGACAGTAAACAATTCCCTAATCCCTTTACCTTCTCTTAGCTAACAAATATAAAGCTCTTCACCTTACATCTATTTCTTAATAATAGGCAAATCAAACAAGTAACTATGTTTTCAATGAAGTTACCAGCAAAAGATCCAAGCAGCGTTCTAAATTTTTAATCAACATATACAGTATAAAACTCAACATTCCTCATCTTGTAACTATTGGCTGTCCTTGACTTATGACCATAATCAAGTCAAAAAATTATGTTGCTAAGCAAGACAGTTGTTAAATGAATTGTGTCCTATTTTAAGGCCTTTTTTGCCACAACAGTTGTTAAATGACTTACTGTTAGCTGTTAAGTGAATTGTGGGGTTGATTTTGCTTGTCGGAAGCCAGCTGGAAAGGTTCCGAAGTATGATTGCATGACCCCAGGAGAGTGCAACCATCATAAATACAAGTCAGTTGCCTAGCGTCTGAATGTTGATCATGTCACTAGGGGAATGCTGCAACGGTCATAAGCATGAAACCCAGTCATAAGTCACTCTTTTTCAGTGCCGTTGTGACTGCGAATGATCGTGAAACAAATGATTGTAAGTCGAGTGTATAACAAAATACCATTTGAAAGTCAAAAAATGGCCCCAATATCCTAATATAAACAAAATAAAAAACCCCAAATTTAACATGAGAGAAGGAACCATTTCTCCTTCACAAAAGACCAGTCCCCAATCCATAACATTCCAAATAATATCTTATCCTCAAATACATGCTACACTTTTACAGGATTACTTTAATCATTTTCAGAGGCAGGAAAAGAGATCCTTTCACAGCTGACTCATCTAACTGGAGCATTCTTCAGGACTCCCACAGGAATAGCTACCGGGTCTTATCAACACAGTAGGTGGAGAAAATTCCTACATATTTGGGAAGATCTACATCAGATATTTGACTGCTGGCCATATTTTAAATCAGCTGCATCCCGTCTTATTTTCCTCAAAGTTGCTTAGATTTTTAACAGATGAGCTTGCTAATAGATTACAGGTGAACAATGACATTTGCTGGCAATGAACTATAGCCAATCAGAAACTGACATATCAAGTTTAAGGATCAGTGATCTGACTTGGCACAATAAACAGATGCAAATGGCATTTTGTAATAGGATCCTGACAGAATCTAAACAAACAGGAGCAGGTTCTTCTAGAATCTTCTCAGCAATACTAAGAATTGAATGGATGAACTATAAGATGCCACTGTAAAACAATGTTGTCTGTATATGCATGTATGCTTCCACATGTTATTAAATTGCAAGATGTCCAAGCTACAGGTTTGGAACAGGGGAAACTGGAGAAAAAAGAAACAAATTCAATTACATCATTAATACTAATACTTTCATGTTGGAAGTATCAAAGTCTTCCATGGCAAAAGAATTTGCCAGTGACATCATCATTGGCGGTGGGAGCCCAGTTGGGGGCTCCTTTCGTGTCCTCGTGATGTTGCCCATTGAAGTGGTACCATTTATCTACTTGCAATTGCCCACTTTTGAACCGCTGGATTGGCCGCAAGCTGGAGCGAGTGACAGGATCTCACCCTGTCCTGCAGCAGCAACAGGTCTCAAATGTGAGACTGCTGATCATCAGCCCAGTGTTCTAACCTCGTGACCTATCATGTACCTACTACATCCTTTATATGCAGCACTGCTTTATTTTCCAGGAGTTTTTAATACAGAAAATAAAATTAGCATTTTCTTATTTGATACCAGGTTGGTGCTTCCCAAATCTTAGCCAATTCTGGGGGGAGGGGGTTGGGGTGGGTTGTTGCAGAGAGACTGGAACATAAGAAATAGTCCATGGACAGGGAAATGACTTTTGTATTATTACAGTCCTCAGTGAATGGCTGGGACATCAGAAAGAAAGCCCTCCTCCGTTTCTCTATCTCACTGAAGTAAAACTGCAAATATGGCTCAGATTCACCGAGCTGCTGGAAGAGGCACTGGATGTTGTCAGGCAAAAGCTGAATCCATATTTTTTTGATTTGCAAAAGAACATGGCTGGCAAAATTCTTGGTAATTTTTCTCATTATGGTCTTCTATGTATATCTGAAATAAGAATTCCATTGGACATTTTAGACTTTTGTCAGTATAAAAATTGCATCCCACCCTAGCAACGGTGTTCAGTTTATTATAAAGATAGATGATATTTTTTGGCCTGGCCTGTACATTACAGATGTGGATTTTTCCATGTTGTTTATTTGTGCATGCTTGTCAGTGGTGGGTTTCTATTATGTTCATTATGGTTCGCTCGCGCGTGTGCGCAATGCTTCTGCACATGCACAGAAGTGTCTGGGTGGGTGGGCAGAGCCTCCTGCCGCCGCCACTACAGTTCACTGAATCCGGGCTGAACCAGGAGCAACCCACCTCTGATTCTTGTATGCCTTCAAAGTCAATGTTGACTCCTGGCAATGGCCTGGATATGCTCCTGAAGTTTTATTGGCAAGATTTTTGCCTTTGCATCTTTCTTAGCGGGTGAGAAAGAATGACTAGCCCAAGGTCAGCCAACTGGTTTCATGCTTAAAATGGGACCTAAATTCAGTTTTCTGTTTTCTAGCCTGGTATGTTAATCACTATCGCAAAGTGGCTCTCTATTTTCAATATAAAATCTCATTATTGAGTTTGACTCTTGTTCAAATACTCATCAGGTTCAATGCTGTTTGGTTGTAGGCAGTCATCTAGATTTGATTAGATGCTACCAACCAACTCTCTGTGTCTAGATCTGTTTATGTGCATGCTCAAGTAACTGGATAATCAGAATATACAAAATAATCTAATTTAAAGAGAATTCCCTATTTTTGTCCCCCTTTAAACAAAACTATGCAATGACAAGTAGCAACCCTGTGAGTGTGACATCGTAAAGTAACTAATATTTCATACACAGGTCAAATTATGTTTAATACTATGAGTTGGTCCAATATTCAAGACAATGAAGGAATAATCCAGATTTTGGCTAATGGATTAGTTGAACTCTCAAGAGGAAACCATGTATGATAAGTGTAATCTTTTAATGTACTATATATTAATATTAAGTTGCAATGGCATCACTTTGACTTCAGGACTTATTTGAAGTCCTTCCATTGGCATCATTGCACTATCTTGTGATAGGTGCTTCTCATTGCTAAGGAGGCAGGGTAATATTACTTTGTGGTGGTGCTGAAAACAAGGAATTAAAACCCTGGTTCTATGCACAAACTATCATTAAAATGGGCACATCATTGTAATCCCCGTAGCCCTAATGATTCTTACATCTTAGATATGTGGGATCAGATCTAAGATGCAAGAAACAATACATGGAATAAATTTCTCTATGAATTCACTTACTAGCCTGATAGCCGTTATGCCCCTTTTCCGACAATCTTCCAGGGGAGGATGTGAGCAGAACAGGGAAAACCTGCAGCATCTTTGTTTACAGGCCAAGTAACTGGTTATAGCATCCATTTTAGTAGACCAGAAGTCCCTATTTCAGATCTACATTATGTTTCTTACAGTTCTCTTCATAAGTTGATCTCACACAGAAGGGTATAAAAGAAGACTGAAACTAGGCTTCCTGCTCCAGTACTATGGCATTTATGCACTTAGTGCCACAGTTATAAAGCAAAACCTATAATATACAGTGTCCGTCGTGTGTGCAAAAAACAGCAGAACATGTTAATCTCTTCCTCTGTTTTTGCACATAACTGTATTTTTAAACAACAGCTGAACAGTACTTCCCCCACAAGTTAAGATGCATGCAGTGATAAGCAAGAACGTGATTAGAAATGCTAGTTCTATGTTTTGACACAATGCAAATAATTTAATTTAGTTAATGAAGAATTCTCTTTATTGAGCAATCAACCACAACGTATTCCTATCCCTGGGCTTTTGTAAAGGTGAATAAATGTCCTATTACAGTCTGCTTGGGAACAGTTGTTCTCAACTGTTGTTGCTTTGAGAACAAATTGTCATCAGTATCCTATTGCACAGAAGGAGATGGCCACAAAGGAAGCCAATCTTAAACAGCTGAATAATCTGCCATGAGTTTTTCCATATCTTCCACATCTATCTGCCTGTGCATGATAGCCACTATTCTTAGCATGTGACAATAAAGTATTAACCTGATCAATGTGTTAATGTCATGTGTTTTCACTGCCTTTCTTTATAGAATAATTTTATATCCCTGAATTGAAAGGAAATTAATACGTAATTTTATTAAAAAGATATTTGCACTCTAATTCTCTGCTTCAGAATTCATAAAATTGAACTCATGTATAATGTATATGTTTCCAGCATAGAAACTGTAATGATTGACGTGGCCTATTTTAGCTAGTGCCGTGCAAGCCAAAGTTATTTCAGTAGCTCATGCAAATACCTACTGTAAATGTGAAAAGAGGATATTGAAATCTTCAGATCAGTTGTGCCAATCTATGAACTGTATGATGTCTTACTTATGAGAACAAGTAACGAGCAGTACTATATATTTTGATTTAAAAGCAAAGCCCAATAAGGTTTCATCCCAGGTAAGCATATGTAGTGCTGAATCTAAAGAAGCTTTTGAAATAAAAGCAATATGTTTTAATCTCCTTATGGTTGGATATATGAAAAGAAGCTTCCAAGTTGCATAGCCAGAAATCAGATAGTAATACACTGCATCAGGCTTTAGATGGTTAAAATAAGCACATTAAAAAAAAGTTGTCTCTGTCTTTGAAATTTAGATAGATGAACCTCAAGATGTGATAGAGAAGCGCCAAAGCTTTGCCAGAGAACTTCTCTTGAGTGAGAGAAATTACGTGCACATTCTGGAAATTGTGAAAGATGTCTATGTTAAACCATTAAAAGCAGCATTGGCATCCCATCAGGCCATCTTAAGTGATATAAGTATTCCACTCATCTTTTCTGATGTCTTGGACATTTTACAAGTAAACAGGTATATTACATTGATTACTTTGAAGCATTCCACTATTTAAAACTTTTAGAGATAAAACAAAGCAATCCCTAGTAACCCAGCACTAATAAATACTCAAGGGTTTGGGAATATAATAATTTGAACTGACTAGTAGATTTTCTGTAGACATAACTTCTTTCTAATCTGGATGGAGGGATGGACAGACAGACAGATAGACTTTTCAGTCAGTGTTGACTCCTGGTGACTGCCTGGACAAATTTTCTTGGCAAGTTTTTCAGAAGTGGTTTGCCATTGCCTCTTTTTAGGATTAAGAGTGAAGGACCTAATATCATCCACCTGGCTTTGTGGTTCAGGCAGAGCTAGAACTACAGCAGGGCTGTCAAACTCCCAGATGTGTCATGAGCTGGCCACACCCACACCCGGTTTAGCGAAGGGGAAAAAAGTGCCAATATGTCGCATGACGCTGCCGTGATGATGTGCGTTTTACACCCCTGAACTTACAATCTCCCAGTTTCTAATGCCTTAACTGCTACCTCAAACTGGTTCTCTGTGTTCCAGTACAGTTAACTGCTTTCTAATCTGCTTTGTTAAAGAGTTATAAATAGGAGTATACATTGAATATGATTCCAAGTGTTTGTTTTCAGTGAAAAGCAGGATAGGAAGCTGGACATTTCAGATCAGGAGCAACTGGGTCGATTTCCAAATGAAAGTAGTAGGGGCACTGTTTTCTGTACAAGCCAACCTCAGCCCTGGTTCCATTTCTGAGCGCCTCCATTTCTGAACACCTTAAGAATAATTCAGAAAAATTTGGATAGGTATGGAGAAGTTCAAGAAGAATGATTAGAAGACTGGAAACTGAGATCATTCGCAAAGCACATTGGTACAGTGAAGTACTACTCTTGTAGTACCAATGCAGTCATATTCTTTGGAAAACTTGGTACAGCTGGGCTTTCTCATGTCATCACCATACAAAAAAGCACCTCACCTTCACCAGTGGTCCCATCACCGTAGGAATGTGTCTGTTCAAGCGAACAACCTAAGAAAGCAAACCATCAGTGCAGCCCCACTGACCTTTGATATGGTTACCTCAACACTTCAAACAGGAATCTTCACTTGCGTCAATATTCTTCACAAAATATCTTTTCTAAATGGTTTGCTTAGCTTAATAAGTAGGTTTTATGTGGTTATGAAAGCACTTCTCCAATACCTGGAGGGGTGGCACACAGACAAAAATCAAATGCTATTTGTATCTTCTTGGAATGTAGATAGGAAAGTGGATTCCATCTGAATGTAGAATAAATATCCCAATGGTAACAGCATATCAACACTAGAACCGGTAAGGGAGATGGTGAACTCCCTTTACTAAGGATAGCTAGCTATTCATGGTACTTTAATTTGGATTACTGCACTGAGGATCGGGTTGGATTTGGTGGTTCATTTAAATCAGAGGTGGTATTCAGCAAGTTCTGACAGGTTCTGGAAAAGTGGGTAGCAGAAATTTTAAGTAGTTCAGGTAGTTTTAAGTAGTTTAAGTAGTTAAGGAGAACCAGTAAATACCACCTCTAACTGGCCCTGCCCCCATCTGCCTCCCGAGTCCTAGTTGATTGGGAGGAAATGGGGATTTTGCAGTAACCTTCCCCTGGAGTGGGGAAAGAATGGAGATTTTATAGTATCCTTCTCCTGCTATGCCCACCAAGCCATGCCCACAGAACCGCTAATACATTTTTTAAAATCCACTATGATTCCCCAAGTGCGTGGCAAAGCCACAATGTATTATAATGTTTAGGATAAACATTTGAGAAAGTTTAGTAGGTCTCCTCTCTTTTGTAAATTGGTTGGCAGAGAATCTCCCAGTTTTGATAATGAGATAAATAAATAGCTAGAGAGATTATTCTTGACAGTATTCTTGATAAGAACTTTGCCTTTTTTCCAAGATTCCTCCCTCCACCCTTTTCTAAATCTAGCCTACAGTCCTTAGCAATAGCAATAGCCTTAGATGTCTTAGTTTCCTCTTCTGGCACTCAGGCCTGACTCTGACTTAGTTAGGTTAGCCAGGTGCTGCTGGCTGATAGAACCTCAACTGTTACAGGCAAGTCTGGATTAGCAAGCATTCCACTTCATGCAGGTGATGTTACAAAATTTCCCATGGGTAATTTTGCCTGAATGCTTAAAGATGTTTCCCCCCCCCCCCACAAATGTGGGTCAAGCAAAGTATCAAATTTGCTAAAGGTTATACAAAGCTGAGTTTCTTGTTTACGTATGTATGGATAGCTCTAATATATAATCACCTGTAGTAATTCTAGATATGAGGAATCACTTGGTATAAGGCAGGCTGAAATAACAATACCGGGGATTCTTCTTAGTAAAAAATGCATTGAACAGCATCATTTACAACTGCCAACTATTTTTCAAGGGACAGATCCTATTCTACCACTTTCTCAGATTTCTACTTGGGTATGTGCTGAATTTATCAATTTTTAAGAATAGAATATCTTAATGTTGGCCAACTGAATATTGAGCCTACCTGCTATAAATTAATATCACAGATTAATAGTTTTCTGTAGCCTTACTGGGATCTTTTCTACTGGAGTAGAGGCAGACCCATTAAAGGTAAGCCTTAAGTCTTGCCTCCTGCAAACTGGGAGGGAGATGGCTCCTTAGATGTAGAAATATAATGTTGTCATCTCCAGCTGTTGCAACTTGTCTGCAACCAGATAGAAAGATAGAAACACCCTTCTGTGTGTGTTTCAAATACAGGTGTTTTTTAGCTGAGTTAACACGAAGGTTAATGCATGGAGCCCTGCCCAAAACGTAGGAGACATATTCATTAAGTTGGGCCAGCAGTTTCAAACCTATGCAAATTTTTTCAACAACTATGCAGTGATTCTGAAAACTATCGATAAGGTAAGAATGCATCAATCTCTCAAGATATTCTCTACAGGTTTATTTTATTAAACATACTCTTGCTAATTCATTTAAAATGCACGATGGGCATTTCCCTTTTAACAACTTTTAAATGGTGTCAGTGATTGAAGCCTTTGGTTTGTGACTAGCATGCATACAACAGGTTTAACTGGAATTCTCCTCATCTCAATGGAGCCAGAAAATAGGTTTGAAGGTGCCTGGAGGATTTTCCTATTCCTCTCCCTTGAAGTCAGCATGTATTATGGCAAAAGGTTTTTGCTATTTAGTTGTTTCTTTTTAATCTGTTCATTTCTAACCAGATATCACTGTTTGTGTTTTCCCTGTAATTCCATCCATCTTGCTGGACTAACATTGCTTCCGTCTTCTCATTCATAACCTATTTTGATATTTCAGTTGATTTTACTATGTAGCCCATCTCTCTGTTTTTAGATAGTTTAAGTCAGTTACTATGTGGTTTTTTCCATTCCACACAATTTCAATTGATGAAGGGACAATTTTAACAGGATTGTTTCAGATTTATCTCCAGAATTGACACTTGGCTTATTTTTGCTATACAATAAGGAAATATAAGGAAAGCAATTCTTGCCGTATCAGATGCATAATCAATATTGTATTATCCTTATCATTATCCATGTCTGTGAACCAGATGGCCTTAACCTAGTTTGGGCTGTTCATTGAGTTCACAGTATTTTCTACAGTATTTTCATTACATAAAATGTGTTTCTTCCAATCATAATTGTACACAACCACAGACTCGGGCTCAAATTACAGTTTAATGCCTAGTTTCAAGTTGGCACAAAGTTACATGCAAATCATGGCTTGTGGGAGTGGATTTTTTTTTCTTATCTGATCTGCCCACCCAGAGAATTCCTAAACTTCTCAAGACAACTTAGAAAAGATAACTGTTAAACCTCAGTTATCATTATGTTAATTGGGAATGATGGGCTTTATAATCTAATGCATCTAGGGCAGATTGTTGGAGAATAGTGTAATCATACAAAAATAGAGGGATGCACATCATTGTGGAAAACTCTAAAAGGAAAACAAGGCAAAATGTTTTGGCAATTTCATTAAGGCAATAGTCTGAATACATTTTCTGCTGCAGCTCTCTTCAGCAACTTTTAGCACATGTTTGATGTGACTTTGTCTTGCTGATTGTTGAAAGAAATCTTTCTTTAATGAAAACATCTTGACCTGAGCAGATACACCAGACTTCTAATTAACACTCATAATACCATGGTATATATCCTTTAGACAGAAAGCATTTTATGAACTGCCTGACCAAAGAAGTGAAGAGTTTTGCTGAGACAGAGTGCTAACAGAATGGGGCAAGGTGAAATGATATCTGTGTTAGAAAAGCTGAGGGGTGCCCATAAGTTCCTGGAAAATAATAGTGAAGTGTAACAGAAACAAGACATTTGTGTCTAGTTCCCCACTGCTTCAGGTTTCAATGCAATATCTGGAAAGATGGATAGTGTCTCCAGAGGGAGTGAAAGAAGAGTGGACTTGTCATTTTTCCCAAGCTTAGTTAGATTCATGAATGTGTTGCTTAAAACTTTTAACTAGTAGTAATTGTATATTAAAATATTCTTATAAGTTTATATTCTGTTATCTGCAGTTCAAAACTATTTGAAATTATTAGGTATGATTGACTAGAAATTTATTTCTTCCTGGTATCCATTAGTAAATTCTTCAATATTTCTCATTTTTTGTTCTGAGACCTATTTGTGAAGGTCTCAGAAATTAAAACCAAACTATGAATTTAATCCATACTTATACACCATATGATTTGCCTTCATTTGAGTCCTTGGTTTTGTCCCTCACCATCATTGAAGAGAGATTTAGTATAACCCAGTTTCCTTGATGGGTAATATTCTAAACACATGACTGAATAATGTTACAATTTGTGAAAGCTCAGTTTAGAGATAGCTCAGGATTCTAATGCAGCACCTTTAGAAACTGGCAATTACAATGTTTTCCTTGTTGAAAACTCTCTGATTGGACCAGATTAGACAATTGTCCTGTTTCATACATAATCTGGTCATCATGATCATCCAAACCTCTTGTTTCCATAGTGCCAAGAAACTATTCCAGTATTCCGTGCTTTCTTGAAGACACACGATCGGACTGTGGTTACCACCATGAGAAGGTAACCCAACCTTATTTCACATAAGGATTGTCATAACCTGGGAGCAAAACAATTGGCACACGTCTTTTTATTAAAGTTTTAATATATCCTCTGTGAGGTTGGATTCGGACTTAAAGAGGGATTCCTAATAAATAAGGCAAAAAGCAAAGTTAGGCTCTACCAAATAATGCTTTTCAGAAAATTGTTTCAGGAGTATGTTGCCAAACATGTCTCCGGAACTGGATTAATCTATGAAGTTGTTCTAGATATACAAAGACCCAGAAATTTCTTGGTCTGGCTCTGTCAGCCAGGCCTTCAGCCACATTTTCTTCACAGGATAACATTAGTACCATACATTCTTTTTTCATCTAGAAAAAGCACACTAATCTCTTCTCATTGGCAAGTTTATACAGTATATCTGCTTCCGTATATGTGGAAAGGAAAAATTCTATGGTTGCATAGAAGGTAGGAGCAGAAGCAGTACTAATTTCTTTCCATTTCATATTCTGGTCGGCAAAAAACTATTTTAACTCCTGATTTTGGCTCTTAGATGAATTAACGTAAACACTAGCTTCTTCTTTCTTCATTCTTTTTCTTTCATTGGATACATTGTCCAATATATTTTGGGAGTGTCTCACACCCAGGAAGGAAGGGAAATGATAGGTAGGCAGCTGACATGATAATTTGGCCTATTGGCTAAACAATCTGCATATCTGGTGCTGAGGTCTTCTAAAGTTGTGATGATGGTGGCATTGACATTAGAGAAATCTTCACTGCAAAGTAAAATAGAGTAATCTATCCAGCATGCAGATCATAGCAGTCTGTACAGCATTCAGTTTTATTGGTAAGATTTTTAAAGCAGTTAAGTTGCTTGTAGAAATATGGTGCTTCTACCATATGAGTTAGTTGACTTAGCTTTAAAATTTGTCTCTTAACAATTTGTTTTGACTGTACTTATCTGCCATTTTTCTAAATAAAACATTTAATGTATGTGTTTCCTGTGTAGCTTACAAGAACTTCTGCTCTGCCCTGCTAAGAGGGTCAAAGAATACATCACTCTCCTCTGTGCTCTTAGACTTCACACTCCTCAAGAACACACTGACCACGAAGACTTGGCCACTGCAATTAAACAAATGAAACAACTCAGTGCTTACATAGACCAGGTCTGTCTTCTACATTTGCTTTAGCACAATGATTATTTTGCACCCTTTTAGATGAATGGGGTTTATTTCATGCTACACGGAATATCCTCTAGTTTAATGAACCCAAATGGGATTGTGAAATAGGAGTGCCTCCTCCTCCTTTTTTAATGCAATGGGATTCATGGTTTCCGTCACATTCTGGAGCTGCTGTTAGTTGCAAAAGGAAAAACCAAACCCAAACTAACGATATGATATTTCCTTTGTGGCTAATAGGAGGCCAAAGTAGCAAACTAACTGAGAAATTCCAGGCACAGCTGTTCAGTTTTATGTCTTTGTAGATTTTTCTAGATATGCTCATACTCAGACAGTAACTAGATAATTTTTTTTCAAGCAATGGTACTATAGCCAGCAGAATTCCTATCACAGGGAGAACTTGGTTATTCTCCAGAATATTCTCCAACCCATTAAATAGATTGTAGACCAGGTTTATCACTTTGTATGTGGTAGTGGATGATCCGTCACATTGCGAGGCTTTGGGGGATATTCTTGTACAGCTGGATTTGGATTGTTATAAAATAGATAAACTTTCTCACTTAGATTTGTGATTACATTGATCTATGCAATAGAAAATTAAAGCCTGTTCATTGTGTCTTCTGACTGCTATCTGGTGTTCAGGAACAATATGTGCTCCTATATAGCGGCTTTCACCATCTTCCCATTTTTGTGTTGTAAATAAGTTCTGCTCTGTCTTAAATTGATGGATTTTGAGGTATGCCTAGGATACCTGGAGAGATTCCATTGGTATGGGGCCACTCTAAAAGTCTAGCAGTTGAAGTAATTTGCTGGTGGGAGATGTACTGTTTTATACAGTTTTTGTTAATTGGAATTTGGATTGCCACTTTGGTGGTGGCATTCTTTGTTGTTATTTTTTGATATGCCTACCATTATTTTGTCTGCTGATAATATCTTTTTCTCTTGTAAATTTGATCCTGTTAAAGATGTTATTGGTTGTATTGTGTGTGTTTTCTAAGTGACTTTTTTAATTATGACAAATGTTTTGTACACTCAACTGAATCTACATTTTGGATTGTATGTGTGGGAGGCCAGTTGTTTCCAGATGTTGCATGACTGGTTTCTGAAGTGAGGTGTGGGAGGAGTAACCAATGGGTATTAACCCAGCCCTTTTGCCTAGGAGACTGAGGTAATCTTTTGAAGCCACACCTACGTTCCTCCTTCTGACCTCCCCAGATTAACCTCAGTCTCCGGCCTGAAACGAGTGTTACTCTGACTTTCCCTTCACTTCGAAGACTCAGGAGTTTTTTTCCTACAGGATTTCTTCCACAACCATAGGATTTTACCTTAGAGTTCTTCAGCTTCGTTCCACCCCTCCTCTGCTGTGCTCAGCGCTGCTGGATTCCAAGCCTTGCCGCTTGCCAGTGTCTGCCCGCGCCCCGAGTGACCGGACAGTCGCGTAAGAGGGGGAGGAAGCCTCCACATCGCGGGGGTGACAGGAGTGACCGCGTGGCCTCCGAAAGGGCCGACGAAGACCAGCGAGGCCCGGGGATCCATCGGAGATCGCCCCAACGCTCCCCAGCTCCAGGAGGAGGCTCGGACCGCAGATCGGCAGTCGCCATCTTGCCACCGTCATCTTGAGCACATGAGTGAGCGCGTGATTGCCGTTCTCCTATGGACGCCGAAAGCACTCAAGAGGCACCAGAGAAGCCAGAAGAGGCTTCCTTTAGGACCTACTCCGCCGGTGATCCGAGGAAGGCTCCAGAGCGGTGCCTGCCGGCAGTCCAGGCCACAGATCAGTGGCAGAAGAACGAAGAAAGCGGATTCAGGGGCAGAAGACTGAATCCAACCCTTTAAAGCCGGCTGCGGAAAGGAGGAGGTTGGTGGTCACCGCAACTGTGAGTAAATGGCGGAGGCGGTTAGGAACAGGGATGCTAGGCCTAGAGCCCCAGGGGGTGTGGGTCTGGACAAAGGGACCTCTGGGGGAGTCTCCCTGGCTCCCAGGGGGAGATCCCCTACTAGGAGGGACAAAGCCAAGGCCCCCAAGAAAGCAGCCCTTAGGAAGCAGGCTAGGACAACCAGGGCCTCGGCCAGAAATTCAGGGCTACCATCAGCCCTTCCCCCTCCAGGTCCCGATCTCCCCACAGGCCTCCAGTCCTGGATGAGGCCCGGGCAGCATCCCCTGGTTCCCCAAGGGGCTCAGGCAGAGGGCACAGCTCCCTATCACCCCCCCTATTGCCTGCACCCCCAGCGGAGTCAAGAGCTGATCCATTTGGGCGCAGGGCCCCCAGTCCAACTAGGCATCGGTTGGCTCCTCTATCCCCTGACCCCAGGGTATATCCCCAGCCACCAGAGCTCCAGCCTGCCTTACCTGAGCTCACCAATAGCTTTCAGGATATGCTAGCTAGGGCCTTAGCCCAGGTGATGGCCTCTGGGATAAACCAGCAGCCTCAGAGCTCCAGGAGCAGGGCCCCCCAGGAGCACTCCAGGAGCCACCAGGAGCGCCCCAGTACATCGGCTGCTAGAGGAGCCAGGTCTCCCTCCCCCTCCAGTGCAAGTGAGGCTTCCGATTTAGAGGAGGGAGAGTTGAAGGAGGTGGGGTTCTCTGAAGATGAGGAACCCCAGGCAGAGGACGACTCCACCATCGCTGGCCTTTCCCCCCCTTCCCTATTTAGCTCCTTGCTCCGCAAGGCAAGTGCCACGGCAGATCTGGAAACCCCCCCCCAGATCCTAAGCCTGTGTCCGATACACCTAGCACTAGCAAGGGCAAGAGGAAGAAGGGGCCTTTCCATAGACCACCCGTGGCTAAGGAGGAAATCCCCACGCCAGAGATGTTTCTAGAAGTGCTCAAATCCCAGTGGTGAAGCCAGGGTCTTTCCCCACTCCAGGGGGAAATGAGAGAAAATTCTATAACCTTAACCTGACCTTTGCTCAAGCTCTCCAGGTTCCTGAGGTGGACAACCCGGTTGCCACCCTAGCCTCAGCGTCAGCAGTCATCACAGGTGACATCCCCAGCAGCCTCAAGGCAGAGGACAATGAGGCAGACATTGTGTTGCGCAAGACTTTCCAGGCTATAACATGGGCCATTAGGGCGGCCGCTTCGGCTTCTTTCTTTAACAGGTCCACGGTGCTGTGGTTGGAACAGCTGAGGGACAGGACTCCGGCCTCAAAGGTTCGCTTGTTGCAGGACATCTCCAAGATCCTGGCAGCCACGCAGTTCTCGGCGGACGCCACGCTGGACGCAGTTAAGTATGCGTCTCGGGCAATGTCTTCCTCAGTGGCATCTAGGCGCCTGTTGTGGTTACGCCATTGGCAGGCAGAGTCCCGGATGAAGTGGCACCTAACAGGAGCAGACTACACTGGTGAGAAGCTGTTTGGAACTGCGCTGGATCCTATCCTGGTGGAGGATAAGAACAAGCGGAAGGTCTTCCCAGCGACTACCAGATGCTCAGACTTCCGGCATGCTCCATATCCCATGAGAACCTCGGACAGGCCGCCTGACGTGGAGACACAGAACCAGAGGTACCAGAACCCCAGGTTCCACAGGTAGGGGGATAGGCAATTCCATAGGGACAGGTTCAGAGGCCAGCAGC